TGAAAAAAGCAGACTTTTTCCTGTACCACTGCTTGATGAAAGTGTCTTCTAAAAACTGGCAGTAGGTTTGGGAGTTTTAGTACACCCTTAACCAAAAAAGGTCCAACTAACTCATCTTTAATAACACCAGCCCAAACCAGTACCCCATCCCCACCTTGTTGAAGTGGAGCTCTGTGCCCGTTACTGATCCAGCCACGGGCCCATCCATCTTGTGTGTCATAAGTCACTCATCTCATAAGTCCATAAAAGGTTTGAAAAATCTGACTTCAGGTATTTCTTGGCCCACTCTTCACGTTTCAACGTATGTGTCTTGTTCAGTGGTGGTCAAGTTTCAGCCTTCCTTACCTCAGCTATGTCTCTAAGCACTGAGCAGCTTGTACTTCTGGGCACTCCAGGTAGTCTCCTAGATTGTAAGCTCCAAGGAGCAGGGCCCTCAAATCCCTCTTGTATTTAACTGTATTGTCTCCCGTTATATTGTAAAGCACTGAGCAAACTGTTGGCGCTATATAAATCCTGTGTAATAATAATAGTTTGAGTCTTCTCAAATCTTTGGCAGTTAATTTGCATTTTTTTTTCTCCACACTTTTCTTGCGACCCTGTTGACTATATGCAACAAAACATTTGATGGTTCTGTGATCACTCCCCAATATCTTAGCAATTTCAAGAGTGCTGCATCTCTTTGAAAGACTTTATAGATTTTTACTTTTCAGTCAGTTAAATCTCATTTTTGGCCCATTTTGCCTGGGGAAAAAAGCTGCCTAATTATGCACACCTTGAGATAGGGTGTTGATTTCCTTAGAACACACCCTCCGTCATTACACAAATACACATCACCTGATATGCTCAAATCCAATAAGCATTAAAATTCATGCAGCTTGGAGTTGGACAATATGCATAAAAAATGATGGTTTGGTAAAAGTAATCACTTGCCTAAATTATGCACAGAGTAGAAAAAAAAAACAAAACAAAAACACTGGATGCATTCCTAAATGCATATAATATAGCATGATACAAAGTTATTCCCTGGATCAACCACCCCTGGTGTTATTACCTATATTTGATTGCCTTCCTGGGGATCAGGAAGAATTTGTTTCCCCTTCTACAGCAAATTGGACATTACTTTATTGTGTTTTTTTTTTTCCTTCCTCTGGATCAACTGTGGGTATTAGGATTGTGTATTTGAAGGCTTTTTTTTCCTGCTGTTTGAGCTAGATGGATTTATGTCTTTTTTTCAACCTGATAAACTATGTAAATAAGCATAAACACTGGGTGTAGACTGCCCTGTCCTGTTCGCAAAGTCTTTGTGGGAAGAGGGTGGTAGGAAGTGCTTAAGTACATTTTTATAAAGGGCTGTAGGTGAAAACAATGGTAATAGTGTGACCTGAGGTGTGAAGTAACTCATTTATCATCCATTTGGGGCTACACTCTGAATGGTGGAATTTTTACCACAGTTTAACTGGTTCCCACCCGGTCTATGGCCAGATGGCGGCCAGGTGAGCACCTTGTCCCTCCGGGTGGACGCCATATGGCGTCCTTTTAGGCATGTGCAGTTTGCCTGCTCGCAGAGCCGCACAATCTGTCACCGGCCATATACCTCGGACACGGGCGATGACAGATCTGTGTACCGGCCCAGTTGCCAGTACCATGTGACCAATCACAGCAGGTCACAGGACAGTTGTATACAACAGATGGCTTCCTTTCATGCCATCCATTGTATACAAGTGTGGCTAGCTGTGAATGGTCACAGCGATCACATGCACAAGCTGGGCCAATCACAGCCCAGCTGTGTCATGTGATTAGCTGTGGCCAAATCACAGATAAGCACAAAATTTCATTCAGGTAAATGCTTGCTTATAGCAACGTAATTCTTTGCTATAAGCAAATTGTGTAAAACAAATAAATAAAAATACTGATCACTTCCCCAAAGTAGTACAATGTTACTATGGTAACATTATACTACTTTGGTCACAGTGAAATATGAAAAAAAAAAAAAAATCTTAAAAGTAAGAGGAAAAAAAAAAGTAATAAAAAAATAAAATGAAAAGTATAATTTTTTTTTCATACGGTCACCAGTCAGTGTCTCTGATCACCGCCATGCCATTTATATGATGGCGCTGTACTGCACTGGTGACAGTATGGTAAAAAAAAAAAAAAAAAATTGTGAAAATCAATTTTTCTTCATTCAAAAAATTACAGCTTCAAAAATCTCGCCATGCCTGTTATGAAATACATCGGACTGTCTACTTTGCAAAAAGGGTTATTTGGGGGATATCTGTACTGTCCTGACATTCTTGGACCTCAAAAAATTAGATTGGCTGTCAGTACTTCAGGATTGATCAATATTCAGATCTATACCATAGTTTGTGAAAAATAACTTTCCTAAAACTAATTTATTTAATTTGTAGGGTTATATTTTCACAAAGAAATGTAGTAGAATAAATTTTGGCCTAAATTTATGAAGAACAATTATTATTTGCAAACTTTTATAACAGAAACAAAGAAAAACGGTTTTTTTTTCAACATTTTTGTTTTTGTTAATTTAGCAAAAAATAAAAACCCCAGCGGTGATTAAATACCACCAAAAGAAAGTTCTAGTTGTGTGAAGAAAATGATAAAATTTTAGTTTGGGTACAGTGTTGTAGGACTGTGGAATTGTCATTCAAAGTGTGAGAGCGCTGAAACCTAAAATTGGCCTGAGCAGGACGGGGGTAAAAGTGCCTGGTATGGAAGTGGTTAAAAAAAATAAAAAAAAGTTAAACCTATCCTATTTGTCAATGTCACTGGCCCCCATCAGGGTCCAAGCTTCACCCATCATGGTGGGCATGCCTTCAGAAGGGTCTTCAGGGTTTGGGTTCCATAGGGATGGACCACAGCCCTCCACCTGTATAGCAACCTGTTAACTACACACATTACATTAGGCACTGAGGTGAGTGCCCATGCATGATCCAGTGTTCTAAGCAATATGATAGGCCATACCTACAGTATGGAATATGGGTACAGCTCCCAAGGTGTTACTGAGGTTGCACTAAACTCGATGCCCTGCTTCTATTGTTGAATTAAACAGTGAAGATTTGATTGAAGCATCTGTACAAAAACAAAACTAGTCAAGCAAATTATTTTGTTTGTAAGGGTGAAGAGGTAAACTACCTTAGGACACTAGCAAAAACGGAGGCCTTACAAAATAAGGTAAGGTTAAAGGGTTACACCCCAGGGCCCAGCAGAGTTTTGTTGTGTCCAACCATGAGAAGTACCAGACTATAACCCAGTCTATGAATATCCAATATACTGGCACAATTAAGAAAAGGATTGACTCTCAAGACCTCCTTCTCTCTAGTTCCCTGGTCTCCTCCTCCCATGCCCACCTCCAGAATATCACATATCTTCTGGAACTCCCTACCCCAATCCATCAGACTATCACCTACTCTCCTTTCATTTAGGTGCACCCTGAAAACCCACCTCTTCAGGGAAGCCTACCCCACCCCCTGCTAAATGCTGGCCTCCTCCACTCTTCGTACCACTCCATCCCCCACAGCTATCTCCTCCTGTACCACTATCCCCTCCCTCCTAGATTGTAAGCTCGAAAGAGCAGGGCCCTCGAACCCCTCGTGTATCACATTGTATTGTTTTTGTACTGTCGCATGTTCTGTCTCCCTTTGTAATGTACAGCGCTGAGCAAACTGTTGGCGCTTTATACTGTATGATAATATTAACTATTGCCAGTCCATAACACTCCATTTTTTTTTTAATGATTATTTGGTGGATTTGCTAGTGTGCTTGTCAGTCTAAGACACACAAAAACTACTTTCTGAGGTCATTATAGGGTCTTTTAATCTTGGTATGATTGCATCCCCACACATCCATGGCAAGGAGAACACCAGACCCTGGATATGAGGTTTAAATAAGACAAGTTCCACCTGGTTTTGATCACTGGCACCTAAAAGACACACAATTCTAAAATTCATGGATTTGAAGTGGGGGTAAAGGTAGGACTGTACTTTCTCTATGCAACAAGTGTTGAATTTTGTTAAATAAGATTATGAAAAAGAAAACACGTCAATGTTACATGTAGTTTGTTCAAGTTCTATGTACAAAAGTACCGAATGTTAGATCTAATATTTGTCTGGTTAAATACATTGAAAAAGTCATCATTTTCCACAGGGTAGACTTTTTCACACAACTGTATGTACCAACTGCAATTGAAACCATTTGTTTTCTATTTCTATAAATGTGCACATGTATACCTGTGCAAAATATGGGACAATAAATAAATCCACTAAGACATGGGCAATCAATAAATCCACCAAGACCTGGGCAAATATAAAATTACTTTATTTTATAATGTAATTTTCTAATGTGTGTCCCTCGAAAAAAGTTCTGCTTACTAAAAACAACTGTGTTCCCTTTTCATCTTCTGTGCGTGAAGACATGTGAAATGATAAAAAAAAAGGAAACTAAAAATGAAAAGAATCAAAACAATTTCACAGCTGGCTTAAAAAAATTAAAAGGTAACCATGTAGCAGAGAGCTGTGGATATATGGAGGACTATGGATCTGTAGATAGATACTATTCACAACATGTTAAAGTCCCATGCTGTTTCAGTTATCGAAACACACAAGTATATCATAGGAAACTGATATTCTACAGTATACCTTAATTAGAGTAGAATTACATATACAGTATATACTTTAAGCATATTTCAATACATTAAAACTTTTAAACTTTTTTTACTTTTGAGCTGTACAGGCTTATACTTCAGTGCGTTTCCGAGAACTTCAGTGATTGTGTTAGTTTTAATAAGGCAACATTTGTTTTTGAAGGCAAAGTTATTTTGGGTGACTGTTTCTATGCCACAAAATCCAGTTTACCGACACATGAAAACACACACTTTGTTCTTTAAAGAAAAAAAACAAAGAAACAAAAAAACCAAGCATAAAACACAAGGTGCAGATATGCTTTGCAAAATGTAATCAGAGTACATGCATTAACAGAGTATTACACATTCACTCTATAGTGAAGTTTTCTTTAGGAATTCGAGATTTTTTGAGATCCTTAATATCATCCAACATTTTCTTGGGAGTGATGATATGAGTAGATCCTACAGATAAAAAAAAGCAAAAAACACAAGCTTGAATTACTGTTAGAAGCATGAAGGGGAAAAAACAAAAAAAAAACACAGCACCATCCCTCCCCCAACTGTCCACTGTCTAGGTGCAGAAAGAAGTGGTATAGTGCTGCAATCATATGAAGACCATGTTATTAACTCTATAAAAACAAGCACAAGATGGAAAGCCTGGTATAAAAACCATTTCTAACCACTTGCAGACCAAGCACATTCTGGCAGTTTGCTAAAAATAAATATATAATATTTAGGGGTTATAAGTGTTTAAATCAGTATTTTTTGCTAGAAAATGAAACACGCTATAGAATGAAATGGCGATCGTTGCAATTTTTTATGTCACATGGTATTTGCACAGTGGTTTTTCAAACACATTTTTTGGGGGAAAAAAATACAGTTTAATGAATGAAAAACAAACACAATCTATACCCCAATTGTTTCTAAAATATGAAAGATGACGTTACAGCAAGTAAATAGATACCCAACATGTCACGCTTTGAAAATGGCTTACACTTGTGGAACGGTGACAAACTATGGTACAAGTCTCTCATTGGACTAAATGCAATTTCTCCTGCGCTCCGGGACCCAGGCTGGTGGTGAGTAGATCATATCCCAACAAAACAACCACCGGGGCATACAAGGTCGTGCAGCTCCAAACCAAGGCTGGGGAAGCCCGAACAGAACTGTGAAGTAAAACAAGAAGAAGCTCTGAGGAAGAAGGCATGACCTTCGAAACGCGTCAGCTGTACTGAGTGTCCACCCCCATGATGGGATTCGCGCTGGCCTCTTGCCTTTGAAGTCCCTGGGAGGACTTACATGCCTGTTTTTATTCGCAGTTTGTGAGTACCATTATTTTACTAACTAAATTTGGTTACTGAGGTAATGCGCATGGTTGGTGCGCTTCTTCTTGTTTTACTTCACAAGTCTCTCACTGCCTCTGTGACCAGCCAGCCAAACCGTTGGATAATTTTTTGGATGTGCCAGTTGAAACGGTAAGCCTGCGTAACTGGCAAGCGTTGAGCCAATCAGCTAACTTCAGCTTGTTCAATTAAGCTTTGGCAAAAAAACCTGAAAATTGATTTGTTTCTGTGCACAGCTGCACTAGATTTTGTACTCTCCAGTTTTAGTAAATAACCCCACTGGGAATTTAGTGATAAATGGTAATAGTCATCTCCCTCTTTTTTTTTTTTTTTTAATTATTAAACCGACTCATACTAGCAAAAAAAAAAAAAAAAAAAAAAATTATATAATTTCTTTCAATTACCATGACCCACTACAAAACAAAAAAAACAAAAAAAAAATACCCCCCAAAAAAGTTGTAATACTAATGGCGTTCATGGCGATACCACATGTGTGTGCATTACTTTGTTTGTACCCATAGCATGCTTCCAGACCTAAACCCTATTGAGCATCTGTTGGGCATCCTCAAACGGAAGGTGGAAGAGAGCAAGGTCTCTAACATCCACCAGCTCTGTGATGTCATCATCGAGGAGTGGAAGAGGACTCCAGTGGCAACCTGTAAAGCTCTGGTGAACTCCATGCCCAAGAGGGTTAAGGCAGTGCTGGAAAATAATGGTGGCCACAAAAAATATTGACACTTTGGACTCAATTTGAACATTTTTCAGGGGTGTACTCACTTTTGTTGCCAGCGGTTTAGACATTAATGTCTGTGTGTTGAGTTATTTTGAGGGGACAGCAAACGTACATTGTTATACAAGCTGTACACTCACTACTTTACACTGTAGCAAAGTATCATCTCTTTAGTGTTGTTACATGAAAAGATAGAATAAAATATTTACAAAAATGTGAGGGGTGTACTCACTTCTGTGTGTATATACAGTTGTGTTCAAAATAATAGCAGTCAGACATCATTAACCTGATCAATCACTGTTTTTGGTAGAAATAATATTTCTACATGGCAAATAATTTACTAGCAAGTGTAGTAGAGTAATAGAAATCCAACAGACCCAACAGTCATGATATGCATGCTGCTGATTCTGTGTAATTGAATCACTAATTGAAAGGGGCATGTTCAAAATAATAGCAGTGTGGAGTTATTAGTGAGGTCATTGATTCTTTGAAAAACAGGTGGCAATTATTGCCCTTATTTAAGGAAGGAAGGCAGCAAATGCTGTACATGCTGGTTACAGTGCATTTCTCTCTGAAATTCTGAGGAAAATGGGTTGATCCAGACATTGTTCAGAACAGCGAACCTTGATTAAAAAGTTGATTGGATAGGGGAAAACATATAAAGAAGTGCAGAAAATGATAGGCTGCTCAGCTAAAATGATCGCAAATGCTTTAAAATGGCAACCAAAACCTGAAAGACGTGGAACAAAGCGAAAAACTACCATTCGAATGGATAGAAGAATAGCCAAAATGGCAAAGACTCAGCCAACAATCAGCTCCAGGAAGATCAAAGAAGGTCTAAAGTTACCTGTGAGTACTGTTACAATTAGAAGAGGACTAAGTGAAGCCAAGCTAACTGCAAGAAGCCCCCGCAAAGTCCCACTGTTGAAAAAAAGACATGTGCTGAAGAGGTTACAATTTGCCAAAGAGCACATTGACTGGCCTAATGAGAAATGGCGCAACATTTTGTGGACTGATGAAAGTAAGATTGTTCTTTTTGGGTCTAGTGGCCGGAGACAGTTTGTCAGACGACCCCCAAACACTGAATTCAAGCCACAGTACACTGTGAAGATAGTGAAGCATGGTTGCGCAAGCATCATGATATGGGGATGTTTCTCATACTACGGTGTTGGGCCTAGTTATCGCGTACCAGGGATCATGGATCAGTTTGAATACATCAGAATACTTGAAGAGGTCATGCTGCCTTATGCTGAAGAGGAAATGCCCTTGAAATGGGTGTTCCAACAAGACAATAACCCCAAACACACCAGTAAACGTGCAACATCTTGGTTCCAGACCAACAAGATTGATGTTATGGAGTGGTCAGCCCAATTCCCGGATCTTAATCCAATAGAAAACTTGTGGGGTGACATCAAAAATGCAGTTTATGAGGCAAAACCAAGAAATAGAGAAGAACTGTGGAATGTAGTCCAATCATCCTGGGCTGGAATACCTGTTCACAGGTGCCAGAAGTTGCTTGACTCCATGCAACACAGATGTACAGCAGTTCTCAGAAACAGTGCTTATACAACTAAATATTAATTAAGTGCTTATACAACTAAATATTAATTAAGTGATTCAAAGGAAAGCAAAATCTTCAAACATTTTTCAGTTTATATAGTGAATGTTTGAGTTTGTAAAGAAGAATACAAACACTGCTATTTTTTGAACAGTCTAATATTCACCTTTCTTCAATTTTTTCTAGAGGAACAACACAAATTTGATATATTTTTCTTCATGTTTTGATTTGGAATAGAATGTGTAGTGTTCCCAATGCATTTGTGTGTATGGAAATAAAAGCTATTAGAAGGATTGTGAGCTTTATTAGTGTAAGTGTGTGTGTGTGTTACAGTGACGGAAATAAGTATTTGATCCTCTGCTGGTTTTGAATGTTTGCCCACTCACAAAATAATTATTTTAGGTGTATTGTAACACTGAGAGACAGAATAGCAACAACAAAATTCAAAAGAAGTGCATGTCTAACAAATTATGCACTGATTTGCATGATCATGAGGGAAATATTTAATCCCCTTCAGAAAACATGATTAAGGTCTGGAGACTGGCTAGGCCACTCCAGGACCTTAATGTGCTTTTGCATGAACCACTTCTTTGTTGCCTTGGCCGGTGTGTTTTGGGTCATTGTCATGCTGGAACAGCCATCCACGACCCATTTTCAATTCCCTGGCTGAGGGAAGAAGGTTCTCACCCAAAATTTGAAGGTACATTGCCCCGTCCATCGTCCCTTTGATGCGGTGCAGTTGTCCTGTCCCCTTAGCAGAAAAACACCCCCAAAGCAGAATGTTTCCTCCACCATGTTTGACAGTTGGGATGGTGTTCTTGGGGTCATAGGCAGCATTCCTCCTCCACCAAACACGGCGAGTTGAGTTGAAAGTGTTTTGGTCAGATGAGACCAAAATCGAGCTCTTTGGCATCAATCAGTCCTCCTCTGCATCATTCAGATGTTCAGTGGCAAACTTCAGACGGGCCTGGACATGTGCTTTCTTGAGCAGAGGAACCTTGTTGGCACTACAGGATTTCCATCCTTGTTGGCGTAGTGCAGGGGTCCTCAAACTACGGCCCGCGGGCCACATGCGGCCCGCCGAGGCCATTTATCCGGGGACAGGAAGGGACACCAAGTACAGTGGTGTGCAGGGGGCTGCTGTACCTTACCTGGCTCCGGTCCCACGACGATCCAGTCGAGGAAGCGCTGCTCCTTCATTCACTCCGGCCACTCCCTCACTCCTGCCGCTCGGCTCCGCCTCCTCACCAGTGATTGGGCGCCAGAACTGTAGCTCAGGAAAGGCACACAGGCGACCAATCACCTGCGAGGAGGCGGAGCCGAGCGGTCCCGCAAACATCGAGTGAGACCAGAGTGAAGGACGACAGCGGACAGGTAAGTGTGCCGTGCTGATGGTGCTGCTGCAACCAGGTATGCTGGCTGCAGTAGCACCTAGGCTGGAGCAGGGGTCAGCAAGTTACGTGTCATTGGGAGAAATAGTGCCCCATCATTGGTGTCACTGATACCAATGATGGGGCACTATACCTCCCCCCACTGACACCAACGATGGGCACTATTCCACCCCGCACTGACACCAACGATGGGGCACTATTCCACCCCCCACTGACTCCAATGATGGGGCACTATTCCTCCCCCCCACTGACACCAATGATGGGGCACTATTCCTTCTCCCACTGACACCAATGTTGGGACACTATCCCCCCCACTGACACCAATGACGGGGCACTATTCCCCTCCACTGACACAATGACGTACTATTCCTCCCCCTGACACCAAAGATGGGGCACTATTCTTCCCACTGACACCAATGATGGGACACTATTCCTCCCACTGACACCAATGACGTACTATTCCTCCCAATGACACCGGTGACACACTATTCCTCCCACTGACACCAATGTTGGGACACTATCCCCTTCCCCCACTGACGGGGCACTATTCCCCCCCCCCCCCCCCACACTGACACCAATGATGGGGCACTATTCCTCCCCTTACTGAAACCAATAATGGGGCAATATTCCTCCCCCCACTGACACTAATGATGGGGCACTATTCCTTGAACTGACACCAATGATGGGGTACTATTTCTCCCACTGACACCAATGATGGGGCACGATTTTCCCACTGACACCAATGATGGGGCACGATTCCTCCCACTGACACCAATGATGGGGAACGTTTCTTCCCACTGACACCAATGATGGGGCACGATTCTTCCCACTGACACCAATGATGGGGCACGATTCCTCCCACTGACACCAATGATGGGGAACGTTTCTTCCCACTGACACCAATGTTGGGGCACGATTCTTCCCACTGACACCAATGATGGGACACGATTCTTCCCACTGACACCAATGATGGGACACGATTCTTCCCACTGACATCAATGATGGGGCACGATTCCTCCCACTGATACCAATGATGGGGCACTATTTCGCTCCATAAGACACACTTGGGGGGGAAATGTCTGTGCATCTTATGGAGCGGCCAGCCCAGTATTCTCACGGCCGTTGTATGTACGCAGTTCTCTGGTCATCTCCTGTACTGTGTCCGCATTTGTTCATAGTTTTTTTTTTTTTTTTTTTTAAAACTATAGTCTGGCCCTCCAACGGTCTGAGGGACAGTGAACTGGCCCCGTTTAAAAAGTTTGAGGACCCCTGGCGTAGTGTGTTACCAATTGTTTTCTTGGTGACTGTGGTCCCAGCTGCCTGGAGATCATGGCCAAGATCCTCACATGTAGTTCTGGGATGATTCCTCACTGTTCTCATGATCACTTACACTCCACGAGGTGAGATCTGGCATAGTGCACCAGACCTAGGGAGACTGACAAATTATTTTGTGTTTCTTCCATTTGCGAATGATTGCACCAACTGCTGTCACCTTCTCACCAAGCCGCATGGCAATAGTTTGGTAGCCCAGTCCAGCCTTGTGTAGGTCTACAATCTTGTCCCTGACATCCTTGCACAGCTCCTTGGTCTTTGCCATGGTGGAGAGTTTGGAATCTGATTGTTTGATTGCTCCTGTGGACAGAATGAGATTAGCAGCACTACCTTTAAGAGACTGCTTCTAATCTCAGCTTGTTACCTGTATGAAAGACATCTGGTAGCCAGAAATCCTGCTGAATGATAGGGGATCAAATTCTTATTTCCTTCATAAATATGCAAATCAGTGAACCATTTGTTAGACGTGCATTTCTTTTGAATTTTTGTTGCTATTAAGTATCTCAGTGTTACAATAAGTGTGATGTGAGCAACCTAGTGTGTAAGGATGTAGGGTATTGTTAGCTTTGCTGATAATAGCAGGATGAAAATGAATGTACATAAATCATACATCTGTAATGGATGGTGTACCCAATATAGGTCACTTTTGGGAGGGGGGGGGGGTGGAATTAGCACAAAATAGGGGGTGGGGAGAGGGATACAAAAGGGGTGAGAGTGAGATTGTAAGAAACATGTACAGCTCAGCAGAAGGATCCTATGCATGACAGAGGGTCAGTGAATGACCCCATCATGTGTCTCAAGATTTTCATTGAGCCCGGTGGGTGCAAGGGAACCTAGAGTAAAGATCCAATAGGTCTCTCTCTTGCATAGTCTTTGGGATTGAATCAATCACAGGAGATTCAGGTGGTGGAAGAAAATTCCAAAGACACTTATGCCTGATGGATCACTATTGTGTGCCTCCTGAAAGTGCCATGGTACAGAATATTTGTATTTGCCTTTAATGCTCTCCTTATGATTAATGATGTTAAATTTGTGTTGGCCAAACTTGACCCTCAAGGGACGCATGGCTCTGTCAACATATAGGAGGCCACAGGGGCAAATGAGCCCATAGATTACAAAGGAAGTGCCACAGTTAATAAACTGCTTGATCTTATACGCACGGCCATTGGTGCCAGCCACCTCTTTCTTTCTGTGGCACATGTATTTGCAAGTTCCACAATTGGTCACACCGCATTTGAAACTGCCCCTTTGATCAAACAGGGCGGACCAAGGATTGACCGCATTAATGGCACCAGCAAGAGGCTTCTTAATTCTACTGGGTGATATGTGACTCCTGAGATCCCTAGGTTTCCTGAACACAATTTCGGTTCTTGGGGTGAGGCTCTGACCAAGGACTGAGTCATGCTTCAGGATTTTCCAATGCTTTTGAATGCTTTGCTGTATGTCGAAGAAAATTTGACCTGGTCATTAAATCTGTTATCAGGAGTCTTTAGTGACTTACTTGGCAGCTGTGTGTGGTATATGCAGATGACTCTCTTCATATTGGCCCCAATACTTCTGGTAGGGTTCCTCAATGCGGACCTCACTATAGCCTTTTTCTAGAAACTTGATCCTCAAGATGGCGCTCTGTTCCTCAAAGTCAGCTTTGGTGGTGCATGTTCTCCTCAACCTGTAATACTGTCCAACAGGGACATTATGGATCCATTTGGGGTGGTTATGGCTGCTAGCGTGCAAATAAGAGTTGCCGGCGCTAGGCTTAAAATGCGTTTTGGAGCAGATGTTGCCATCCGAGTCTGTCCGTAGTTCAAGATCTAGGAATGCCAGACTGTTGGCATCCACATGTGTGAAGCCGATTCCAAAGGGGTTATTTTGGCAGTGTGGGAGGAACCCATCCAGATCATCATCTGACCCTTGCCAGATGATTAAGATATCGTCTATATATCTGGCGTACAGGGCCAGATTGCCCCGATATGGGTTGTTGTTCCATATCGATTCCTCCTCCCAGTATCCCATGAAGGAGCCGTGCCTCTAATTTGTCTGTAGAAGTTCCCTTGAAAGGAGAAATAATTACGTGTGAGGGTATAATGGATGTTTTTTTAAAGGAAAGCCACTTGGATGGAAGGCATGTCACTTTTGCCCAAAAATTGTCTAATGGCAAACATGCCATATTGATGTTCGATAGATGTGTAAAGAGCAGTGACATCTAAGGATAACTATTTATATTCTGGACACCACTTCGAGGAAGATAAGATCTCCAGCATATGCTCAGAGTCTCTGACATAGGATGGTAGACTCACGACTAATTCTTGGAGGAAATAATCAATATAGCATCCCAAATTGCTGGTGATGCGATCAATGCCAGCTATGATGGGTCTACCAGGGGGATTAATCAGGTCTTTGTGAATTTTTGGTAAATGGTAAAAATAAGGGGTCAGTGGGTGTTTGAGCAGGAATAAATATTCATTATTTGATAGTATTTTATTGGTCAGAGCCTCATCCAACAACCCTTTTAAAGAATCTTTGTATTCCAGTAGGGGGTCTCTACAGAGCTGTTCATAGGTGTCAGAATCTATCAATCAAAAGGCTTCCAAAATATATACATCTTTGTCTTGGATGACCAGACCACCCCCTTTATCAGCTTGTCTTATAATAAATGATGTCATCTCTGTTTCTGATATGGGTCATAGTGATGTCAAGGTTCTTGGCCCCGAAACCATGTGAGAAGTTTTTTGGAATGCTGTGTAGTTTGTTATGTTCGCAGATCCTCTTGATATCCTTCAATACCATGTCATAAAAGGTTGGGATGAAATTCCCTTTGACCCAAATGTGGATAAAAGGTGAAGGCAGGTTTGAAGGCCATATGAATGATCCTATCTTTATCTGTTGACACGTGATCATCAAGGGACAGTGCAAACCCATCACATTTGCCTTCCTGCCTATATATCCTTTGTGTTTACTTTTAGTATGTCACTTGCCCCTGTAACCCCTCCCCCTGTCTTGGGGAGTGTCCAGAATGGCCCACATGTGACCTTTGGTTCAACTAGTTGTGAGCATATAAAAGAGGGTGCAGACATTTGGTCAGTTGGCTCTGAGGAAGAGGCAAGTCCGCGAAACAAGTCAGCCTATTGGATGTCTACACTCCCAATTGCGGACTGTCACTTAGCGCGGTGTTGATCTAGCAGTTCTTTTATACCTTGCCTTTGACTTTATTGCCGTTTGTGAGTACAACAACTACTTTTATTTCTTAAGCATTTTTATGGTAATGCACTAGACCCATGCGCCCTCTGTTTGTACTTTCCTCATTTAGTATATTTGGATTTCCCCAGTCCATTGTGGGTTGCAAGGTGTGCATGCTCCAGGACATTCTTGAGGAGGTTGTAGCCTGTATCGAGTCCATCCCCAAGCGCAGGAGCATTTGTGTATGACGCTGTACTGTGCTGGCGACATTGTTTTTTTTTTCACAATTTTTTTTTAAATGAAGGAATTTAATAACATTTCACAAAAAATTACAACTCTCGATGCCCCTTACTAAATGCAGATGTAGATTGTCTACATTCCAGAGGGCAGGGAGCTGCTGTTACACACTGTTCAAGAGCTCTGAGAGCTGATTGGAGGGAGAAGGCACACCCCACTTCACACAACACACAGGAACAGAGCGGAGGCAGTTAGTCACAGGCCGAGTGCTAGAGGTCCCTCCTCTTGTTACCTTTTTCCCTCTTGGTGTCAGGAAAACTTGTCAGTAGTGATTGATAACAGAGGAACTAGTCAGCAGAGAGAAATGAAACTTCTGCTCTGGAGAGAAGCAAGTAAACACTATAAAAATATGTGCTTTGTTCAGACTTCAGGTTTACAATAGCTTTAACAAAAATTTAGATATGGGGCAGTTGACCTGATATATTAGCATGTTTAAGGAAAAAAGACCGATGTAAAGAGTTACCCACCACCTGCAGTTATGGAGAGCTTGTCTTCTTTACGGTTTCTGTAAAAGTTGCAACACATACTAACAATTGAAGGTTTATAACTTACCAATTATAACCTGGACAAACTTGTTGGCATTTGTCACTTCATAGGCACAACGAATTTCAGAGTATGTGATCCCTCCAATTACAAAAACGATCAGCTTGGATGCGGTTTTCCGATCTTCACGACCTATTGTATTGTGTTTCTGTCGGGCACTAAACAAAAACAGTAATGATTGATAGAGAAAATGGGTTAAGATTTTTGTTTTACTTGTAAAATTATTTTCTTGAAGTGTATCACAGGACATCGAGGATGTTCATGCCTACTTCGGTTATGCCGACACCTTCAGGTGAATGAACACTGGCCAAAAAAAAAAAAAAAAAAAAAAAGGGCAAGAATCTCCGCCCGGGCATAACCCCTTCTAGCTCAACTAAGCCTTAGCTTTATAGCAAGCAATGAGGAACAGACAAGATGGGAGGGACCTCTGTGTCCTGTGATATACTCCTAGGAAAAGGATTTTACAGGTAAACCAAAAATCCTAATTTCCCAATTGTCTATCACAACACAGAGGACTTAAGATAGAAACAAAGAGCGATGGCAGGAGGGGAAAAAAAAAAAAAAAAAAAAAAAAAAAAAAAAAAAAAAAAGAGTGGTCCATCCAGTCTGTCTCATTTTTTTGTCTGAGTATAGATCTACAGTATGTTGTCCCATACATCTTTGAATCTACTTACGGTTGACTGACTTGCTGCTTTTGCTGGATGTCTACTCCAAGCAACTACTTTTTTTGTTAAGAGTACTTTCCAAGATTAGTTTTGAACTTTCCAACGGCTAGTTTGAGGTCATATTGCCCGGTTCTTGGTTCCATGTTGAAAATACTGCCCCCTTTTGATGTATTTAAAGGTTTCAATCATGTCTCCACTTTTCCTTCTTTTTTCCCCAGACTGTACATATTAAAGCAGAACCAAACTGCATCTGAGCACCGCAAACCAAAAATGCTATTTAATTAATTTTTAATATTCAAAGCAAACTCACCCATCCATACATGGCTCCATGCTTTATTTTGCTGAGAAATCACTTTTCAAAAACAGCCCCTAGCATTTCTGGCTGTGGCCATCTTGAGTACAGGCAGATGATTCATACAGCATTCACTTTCTAGAATCCATCTGCCCTTAGCGCAGGAAAGCATGAAGGAAGGTGTGCTTAGTTAACAAAATCCCTCCTGAAGATTCCTTGATGTATGACATCATTTCCCTAGGCATGGAAACTAGGAAGTAACTGAAGAAATGTAGAAAAAAAAAAAAGTTTAACACAAGTAAATATTAAATACTTTCCTATCTATTTACTAATGCTAGCCAAATGTCAATGTTGATTGACCAGGTGAAGTTCCTGAAGCCTCTCCTGATAGGATATCCCAAAAGCAATGAACATGAGGAGTGGGCAACACAGCAACAATACTAAATACACCTTGAACCAAAAAACAGAACAGGGAAAAAATCCACTACAAAGCCACCTGAAAAAAAAAACTCACAAAACTGGCATCTGCAGCGGCATGAACATTATCTAGCTGGAACCTAGAAAACAAGTGACTAGAAGACCAGGTACCAGCCCTAAAAACTTGGAACAGAAACTTGATATTGAACCATCCAGAAAGCACTGACACTCCTAGTGTAATTGGTCTCAAATATGACAGGATTAACCTTGCCCTTGATATCATGGGCCTGAGAAATGAGTGAAAGAATCCACCTAAAACTAGTGAATCAAGAAGCAGCCTTACCCTTGCAAGGACCTTCAGGCAGAACAAACAGGCAATCAGACTGTTGTAACAAAGCTTCAGACAAACCCTATTATCATCCAAAGACAGACACACCATCTCCTCAGGATGCTTAGGACAAAAAGTCGCCAATGCAATTTCCTCATTCAGGTGGAACAAACAAACCACTTTAGGCATGAATGAGCCTCAAGGTCTCAAAATCACTTTATCCTGGTGAAGAGCCAGGAAAGTTTTCCTGCAGAAAAATTGTAGCCAACTTTGAGACCCTGTGAACAGAAGAAATGGCAACCAAAAGACAGCCTTACGCACGAGAAGAGGTTCAAAATCTGCAAAACAAACAAAACCAAGTGAAATGGTTTTAAAGGCTTCATTTTTCTTTATACAACACACACACATCATACTTACTTTCTCCGTGCAACGGTTTTTGTGCAGAGCAGCCCTGATCCTCCTTTCCTCAGTCTGGTCCACTCCTCACTGGCTGTGATTGACAGCAGCGGGAGCTTCTGCAGTGTCTCAGCCAATGAGGAGACAGACCCTGAGGGGAGCCACTACTCTTGTGCACATCACTGGATCGGGATCAGGCTTGGGTAAGTATTGGTGGGGTGGTGGTGGTGGGGGGAGGGGGGGGGGGGGTGAGTCTGCGGAGGAAGCTGCACACAGTTTTTATTTTACTTTTTTTTGCATTAAACCATTTTACATCCTGCACAAAAGGCTTTTACTAAGGAATGAGACAATATATTTCTGAAACAGAACAGCCAATGCTTATTCCTTGGTGGTACTTAAGGCCAGAAACATCTCCACACCAGATCAGAAAAAAAAGCTAAAATGCACTTAATATACTGTCGGGGATGAAGCTTATGAGCCTCTATCCCTCAGGACTTGGGCTTCAACAGCCATGCCATCAAAGCCAGTAGCCACAAAGCAGGATGGAAGACTGGACCCTGCAACAGCAAATTTTGCCAAACTGGAAGAGTCCACGACTTATCTGCCACAAGATTTAAGATGTATGCATACCACATTCTTCTTCATGCAATTAGAATTATCCATCTTTATCCTGCCAATAGGAAGGGAAGTAGGTGCAGTGAAGACATAAGTCAGGCAAAACTGATCCCAAGGAGTCACTAGGCATCCACCGCTAATGCCCAAGTATCCCTGGTTCAGGACACAAATGGGTCTAGTTTTTTTTTTTTTTTTTACAGAATATGGATGCCAAGAGATCAACATCTGGCATCCCCACTGCAGACAAACCTCTGAACTCCAGGCTACTGGAATATGTCTGCCATGTTGAAGACTAAGACTAAGTACTCCAGACAATGTTTTGGAACAGAGGTCAGAGTGGGGGATTAAAATAAGCAACTCCTTGTATAAAGGCAGAGTGAGAAGGTAAAGGTTTCTGGAATAGAATGGATAGGGCAGAAACAATTGCCTTGAGCTCTAAGAGCCAGATTCTGGGTTAAGCTAGACTAGAGGAAAGCCAGGATGCATGGAAAAGAATATTCCCAAGGGTTGAGACATGCTTTGGCAATGGTAGACTTTAAGAGATTTTCTCACCTTGGAGTAGCGTAGGAATGACAAAGTCAGCAATGCCCCTATCCTTTAGGCTGAGAATCCTCATGCACAAACAAATCAAGGGATGCTTGAGCAATCAGAGTTTGAAGGTTGATCTCAGAGAAGCAATGCATTTCTGAGGAAGGTAAAAGGTTTGCCTGGGCCATGTTCAGGATCAGGCCCAAATACGGGCAACGGGAAGGCAAGTTGATCATCCATCAGAAAGTTTTGAAGAATTCAAAATTCTAATTTTTTTTTTTTTGTGTTGACAAACAGGACCGTGTCTGATGAAGCCTTCAGCTGATGGTCATACAGGTATCCTGTGACTTGGATGCCCTGAAATCTGAGTAGCACCATGAGAGGAGCAAGCACTTTTGTGAGGACTCTTGATGCACAGGAATGCCCGAATATTAGTGTGACAAACTGTCACTTATGGCAAAGCACAGAAGGTTTGTGGGGGAAGGTGAAGATGGGCATTTTTGATGTGCACTGATGTCAGAAAGTCCCTTGATCAAAAAGAAGCAATGACAGATCTTGTGGACTCTACATAACTTGCAGATATCCATTTAGGGATTTTAGGCCCAAAATGGGATGAATGCCTCTAATTCAGTTTTGAGACTGAATAGGTTTGAGTAAATCCCTTTGAACGTTTCCTCTGCAGGAACTCCTGGTGCCTAAAGCTGAATCAGGGGTGCCCACAAATCTGCCCGTCTTTGAAGTGAAGAGGAGGTAGAGATTGAAATTCTATTTTGTAGCCACTGGAAATAATAGAATGGACCCAGGAGGTCCATGAAGTTTCTGATCTAGACTGGCCCAGTTGCCAACAGATGTTCCTCCAGAGCTTCTAGGTAGTATGGAGGGTTTTGGGGTCCAAACCTTGTAACAAAATGATAGACCCAGTTTGGATTTAGAGAAAGGACCCCTTTTAGTTCAAAGAGGTAGTCGTCATAGTAATAGCAGGCCTAGGATGTTTTTTGTGAGGTAAAAATACTTCCACTCAATAGTTTCCTTAATACATTTAGCAAGGGATTCACCAAACAGGCATTCACTATTGAATCTAAAACCAAAAATCTTTCATTCTCCATTGAAAGGCATGCATAAAAGACACCTTTTGCAAGCAGGCTCACCAGAGCAAGCCTTTAACCACAAAATTCTGCACATACAGTGCTGTAAAAAAGTATCTGCCCCCTTCCTTTTTTTTCATATTTGTTACACTTAGTAAAATGTGTTTGATAATCTGAATAATTTATTACACAAAGATAACCTGATTAAATACGATAAGCAGTTTTTAAATGATTTAATTTATTAAGGGAAAAAAAAAGTCATCCAAAGCTGCCTAGCCCTATGTAAAAAAGCAATTTCCCCCCCCCACCTTGATAAACTATAAATGAACGGTGTTTAAACCCATTTTTTTTGGAAAGAGTTAAATTTCACTTGCCACACCTAGGCCTGATTACTGCTAGGCCTGTTGAATCAAAAAACTTTACTTAAACAGAAGATGTAATTGACATGTATCAGCCTGGAAAGGGTTACAAAGCCATTTCTAAGGCCTTGATACTACAGCGAACCACAGTGAGCCATTACCCACAAATGGAGAAACCGTGAACAGTGGTGAACCTTCCCAGGAGTGGCTGGCTTACCAAAATTACAACAAAACAACTCTCAGGTCGTCATAAAAGGAACCAGAACAACATCTAAAGAACAGCAGGCAACACTTGCTCTAGTTAAGGTCAGTATTCACGACTCAACAAGAAAGACTGGGCAAAAATGGCATCCATGGGAGAGTTCCAAGGTGAAAACCACTGCCGACCAAAAAGAACACAAATAGGCTAGTCTCACATTTGCCAAAAAATAAAATGTGTTCCGTTACATCTGGCATAAAACTAACACAGCATT